TGGCACATGGTAAATACCATCTAAGGTTCGCTCTGGTTAATACAGCTTTTATCTTAATGTAAAGAAGTCCACCACACCCCAGCTGGAGGGCCCAGGAAGATGCGTGGGTTTAGCCCGTGGCTTTGGGCAGCCCCTTGCACACAGTCCTAGGCACCTGGGGGGGTGTGTTTATCCCATTTCAAAGTCCAGGCATGGCTTTCTGCCCCTCCCCTCTTCTGGCTGAAGGAACTGGGAATAAGCAGTCAGAGCAGCTGGGCATCCCTTCTCCTCCTGCTTCCTCCTCCATCTCCCCCTCTCCCCACATCCCGAGGAGGGAGAAAGCAGCAGATGGGGGAAATGAAGCAGGACTAGGCTGAGCGCCTCCACAGCAGCACCCAGCTCCCAACGGCTGCCGAGGTCCCCGGGGAGCCGAGATGACACACAACTTTGGCTTTGTCTCGGTTTCTTTATGTGTGACAGTGGGGGCAAGACCCTGAAGCTGGGACCCGTCCCCTGGAAGGGTGGGTTCTCCAGACGCCAGGGGAAAACTCCATCCTGCTTTCCAGTCAGCTTCTAAACTGGCCACCTGCTCGGTCTACACGGCAGTGTCTCTGTGGGCTTTTTCATGACAAGTCGAGTCCCTGGGTCTTTTGGGGATGTGGGATTTGTGTGAGAGGCTGGAGAGCCTGCTTGTCTGATGAGGTCACTGTTCCTTGAGTTATTACCTTGCTGAACTTGGCCTGAGTGAGCGGCAGGAATGCCTTGGAACCGTGTTTGTTTGTGAAACATCGAATCCCTGCCTAGTTACGCCCAAGCCGGCCAGAGGCCAGCTTGCCTCTGGACCCGGATCCTTCATATCTCTTCAGTCTTGAGTTCTAGGGACCTGTGTCTGTTTTCTGCCTTGGAGCAAAAGGGCTGAAGCCCAGTGGAGTCAGGTGGGGCAAGGGTCAGCATGCTTCCTTGGGGCCTGTGGGCTCCTGGGCCTATATGCTTTGTAGGTTCCATCTAAGGGGTCATTTTGCTGGTAGGGAATGTTGGCAGGAGGCCAGGGCAGCATTTGGCAGTGAGCGGGAAGAGACGTTTGAATTCTCAGTGAAGTCAAAGGAGTGGTCAGTGCCTCCACTTCCTGCCTGGGAGACACGGCCGTTGGCCGGCACTAGCCTGGCCGGACAAGTGGCCACCTCGGGCTGCAGACACCCACCCCACCCGAGGCAGGGTGGGGGTCGGGGTGGAGGGGAGGGAGCAGGTAGCCTGGGGCCCCCGCCAGCCTGGAGCCTGCCAGCTGCTGCCGGGCCTGGCCCTGAAGTCTGGCTCCAGGCTCTGAAAACCTTCTATTCTGGGCCTCTGACAAGCTCCTCGGCCCTCCCTCCTGTCGAGCTTCCTGAGTCACTTCTTCCCACTCCCAGCTCTGCTTCTTTCTCAATGGAGTGGATTATCACCATACCATATGGTAGGAAAGCAGTTCCCAATTCATAAAGTCCTTTTATGCACCAGCTTTCTTCTGAACTTTCAGCGGTCTGTGAGGGCAACCGTGCAGGTAATGAAATCCACGTGTCCCAGATGAGGGATAATGGAGGCTCAGAGAAACATAAGCAGCTTGACCAACTGGACACACATAACACATACAACACACAACATAGACACACACGCAACATACAACATACACACACACGCAGACACTGCAAGTCAGCATGGGGCTGGGTCTAGAATCAGACTTCCTGCCGGGAGCCTGGCACTCATCCCCACTCCCAGGTGACCGTGGCATATCAGATATGGGCACGTGCGGCCCTGCGGGACCACCTGTGGTGGCCGCTTCCTTTCCTCTTCATGGAGGATGTTTGCTTTTCTGGCATATTGCACTTTGAATCCTAGGGATTTAAAACGCTGGTGGTGATAAGCAGAACTCTAGATAAAGTGGAGAAAGTAGCCTGAATTTGCTTCCTCTTTCTAGGCCCCTTTCTTCCTTTCTTTCCTCAGTATCTCACCTTCTCCTTACCTCCTGACCCCCAAGAAACCCTCTTTTGTGTTTCTTCATTCACATACTCTAAGTGTAAATGGCTGATACAGTTTAAAGGGTTCTTCCTGCAGACCTTAGCCCACCTGATGATTATCTGGTCTATGCCTCAGCTTACAAGACAGCCACATCCAAACATCACTTCTAGGAGGAGGAAGACACAAACACACATTTTTAACACCTGGCATTGCCTGGGCGAAGGGCCCATGAGAGAATCAACGCTGGCCCTGGCGCTGAGTTGGCCCTGGGGCCCACGCACCCTGGTGCTGGGCGTTACCTCCAGCAGCTGGTCCAGAGGGTGGTCTGCCGGGGGCCCAGGGAGGGGCCGAGTAGCCAGGTCTGGGTGGGTGGGCGCTTCAGGGAGCTCTGGGCTTTCATCTTTACCATGTGTGGGAGCGCTGCCCCGCTTTCCCACGCGCACCGCCACACTGCTGCATGTTGGCTGCATATTCAGGCCCACATTTCGTTGCATCTTTTCCAGGACATTTGGAGGAAGGTATCACGTTTTCTCTTTAACTCCTGTGGAAACTGAATCTCCCTGAGGTTCAACAGCTTCTCAAGCTTTCACAGCCAGTGAGCGTTTCTGGCAGTTGGAGATATCCCGAGCTTTGGAGTACCTGAGATGGGAGGCCTTTCCTGGGATAAAGGAGCTTGGAGCCCTGGGTGGACAGAGGACACTGAGTGGGGCTCAGGCTTCACTAGAGGTCAAGGAGCAGGGGGAGGGAAATGGGGGAAAGAAAGACAAAGTGGCGGGATGTGCATTTATGCAGGCTGGGAAGATGGCTGGGGTGGGGTGGGCGGACACTGAGGAACCGAGAACAAGCTTCTGTCACCACAGTTTTACTATGGCCAGAACTAGTCCTGCTGGAAACACACCAACCATTCCCATCGCTTGCTTTGCCTCTTGCCCTCTATCTCAATGTGGTCACCCAGAGAATGCGATCCCTTTAAGCGCTGTCTATGGCCCTTGATTTCTGAAATAGCTGTGTCTTGTTCATCAGGGGCTGCCGATTCATCCCGAGCTCCGTGGTGTCTGTGAGCCAAAGCTGGCTGGTGTTGAGTGGGGGCTCTCCGTCAAGAACTCTGGGGCCTGGATGGTCAGAGAGTAGGAAATTCCACCTGCTCTTATGTAGCTGGAGTCTGAAATGTGGATCAGCACTTGCCCAGGATTCCAGGTAGCTTTCCCTCCTGAGGGCTGGATCGCCACTTACGCCAGCAGACAAAACCCTGGCTGTTTGCCTCCAGGGGAGAAGGGAGTTTAGCCTCAAGGCAACTCGTATTCCTAGGGGCTGGCCCAGGGCTTGGGACTTATGAGGTTTCCCAGAGAACGGAGGGAGGGCCTAGGGGTGAGGTGGTTTGAGCCTCCGTACTTGTCTCCCTGCAGACCCAACAAGGGGCTGGGCCAGGTGGGCATAGGAGTGATGGAGTCCCACGTCAGTCCTTCTTCAAGTCAGTTCCCCTCCCTCGGCAGCACATGCCCCTCCCAACCTACGTGCTCCCTCCCAACAAAGGACATTACTAGTGTCATGTGGGTTGGAAAAGAATTTCCAAACATGAGGACAGAATGAGAGAACAGTTTTGCTAGAGCGGGGAGATGCTAGTAGAACAGCAAGCCTGCTCAAGAAGAGTCCATGCATTTCAAGGGCTGCTGCTGGTGCTAAGTCACTTCAGTTGTTTCTGACTCTTTGCGACCCCATGGACTGTAGCCCACCAGGCTCCCTGTCCACAGGATTCTCCAGGCAAGAATACTGGAGTGGGTTGCCATGCTGTCATCCAGGGGATCTTCCCAACCTAGGGACCGAACCCACGTCTCTTATGTCTCCTGCATTGGCAGGCAGGTTCTTTACCACTAATGCCACCTGGGAAGCAAGGGCTAGTAGCCAATTTTTATAGCCTCAAGACAAAGAAAATTCCTGCTGGAAGGGTGACATTAGGTGATGAGTATTTTTATCTAATATAGGGTCAGGGAGCTGGCCAGTTTAGGTCAGGGGGGATCGTGGCAATGGTTGCTATGGGGCTTAGTCAGTTCTAGAGATGACCGTGGGTGGGGCACTGCATCTGTGGCCTTGGTACTTGGCTGTACACCTGTGATCTTGGCCGAGGGCTCCACACGTAGATGTGAGTCTTGTTCCACATCCAAAGTGACCTCCCCCTCCACTGTATTTTTCCAGGCATGTGGCCTGGTCTGCAGTATGAACTCTCTCCACCTGCACTATGGCCATGCTTTCGCCACAAACCTCTCTTTTAAGAGGCTGACGTTTTTAAAGAGAAAACTAAAATGCGATCCTAATCCCTAGGAGAGTCATCTTTTCTTCTGTGCTTTTCCTTGCGTGTCCAAGGTTTCTGCCAACTTAGAGACAGCATGTCTCATGATTCCTTTTCCAACCAGACTCTGGCTGTGGCTGCGTTTCCTACCCACTGCCCATCTGCCTGCTCCAGGGGCCGGGTGGGGGAGGGGCTGCCACAGAGAGCACGCAAGAAAGAACCGAAGTATGTGACTGGACTTGGTCCTAACACAGGCGATTTTATTACCCTAAATGTCTTGGAATCCCTGTTGCCTCTGGCTCCAGAGGTCTCCAGGCTCCAGCATTCCTGGACAGCCATCTGCAGCCAGGCTGGGCGTTCTCCGGCAAGTGGTGGTGACGTGAGTCACGGGGGCGGTCGCCAGGAAGGCTGCCCAGGAGGTGGGCACAGAGCGATGGCCGCTGGGCCCCCTGGGGTTTGTGGTGGGGGCTGCGGGGCAGAATTTCAGTGGGGCGAGTGAACCCTGAGAGCCCAGGTCCGGCCAGGCCAGGGCTGGGCAGAAACGAGCCTGGTGCTGGCTGCTGGGCAGGGCTGTAATATCAAAACCAGACATTGTCTCTGGATGGAAAGAGCATGCTGGGTCCTTTCTTGCAATCCTTTTCATTTAGGTAAAGGAGCAATGAGGTCCAGATACATAATTCTTTCCTTTTGGGAAAGCCTGCACCCATTCAGTGGAGAAGCCCCAGGCAAACTCTTGTGGACATTTATTAATGTCACAAACAAAGCATACTTTATTTTTATTTGAATTGGCCAATGAAAATGTTCTACACGAGGCAAATACTTCATCATGAAATTTTTAAATGAAAAATAAACAAGCTCCATCTTACATACATCTCCAGCTGCCACATACAAAAAGAGGATTGTAAAGTAAAGTAAATAAGTTAAAATAAATAGTTGTAGGATAGTCTGACAGGTCCAGTGTAAATCACCTGTTCCCTCCCTATCTTTGTTCTGGGCCCCTTCGTCTGTTCACTGTAAGAATATTACACCGTACACTGTGGCCCTTATTGAAAGAGCCCTTGATGTCCACATCTCCAAGTTATGTTCTGTTGGCAGGACTGGGTGTTCAGTCTAAAACAACAGTCGAAGAGCAGAGGTCAGCAAGGTGAAAGCCCAGGCCCCTGATGCCGTCTTACATTTCACCTGGAGATATGGGAACAGGTAATTCCCAGAGCAAAAAGCAACACGTGCCCATGAAGCAGCAGCATGTAAATAACTGTTGTGTCTGAAACCAGTGATGTTGACAAAAGTTTCCTTTGTACTAAAAAATGGCAATTTCCAACCTGGTTTCAGACTAAATTTTGCCATGGAGTCGCTGGTTTTGTTCAATGAGTTGGGTTTGTTTAAGCTTCTAAATTAGAAAACAAACCTTCTGGAAGCAGACTTGAGGCCACAGATGACAAATATCCAAGGCACATCCCATCAATTAGCTCCACAGGCAGACATTACCAATTGATCACTGCATTCCTTTCTCTCAGATTCCAGCCCCATACAGCACTCCACGCAGCCTGTGCCAATCATTTATGTTTATTGAGCATTTGAGATGAAGATTATTTACTAGCCTTGGATCTTCTCTATGTTCTGAATATTCTATAGAAAGAAGTAGATACAACATAGGCATTGAACCCATGATGCCAGCTATGGGTTGGGTGCCTTCAGACTTATCATTTAACTGCTTTAAAGCTGTGTCTACTAAATGGAGAAGGCCACCTACTCAGAGTTGATAGGAAGATTGGGATAATGTATGCAAAGTGCTCAGAATCACATCTGGCACACAGTAGGCATATAATAAATGGTAGCTGTCATAATCACGTTATCAGTTTAAGGCTATTGACATTGATGATAGAATTGATGATGACATTTCCATTAAAAGAAGGATAGCATAATATTATATATTAGGTTGAACCATACGAAATTGATAATTATTTTCAACCTACAAAAACAAGAATTTCTTCTTGTTGAGTGTTACACATAATGATGCATTTCATTTATATCATGTACTTGTTCTAACTTTGTCAACTTGCTTCCTTCAAAGACTGCCCCCAGAGACATATTCTTAAATCAGCTGCTAGAATAAGCAAAGCAAGCAGTCCAGTACAGAGGATGAGGACCTGTATTTAGTATCTGGTATCTAGTTCCATAACCTCTTAAGGCCTCAGCTTTCCCATCTGTAGACTGGGAATACTTGTGCTTTCTTTAACAGGAATGTTGTGAATGTCAGAGATGCTGGATGGGAGAACACTTTTAAAAGCTAAAATAATCATACCCAAGCAAGGTATTATTAATTCCACTAGACTGTGCCACTTCAGAAAAGATTAGCATTCAAAATTTTAAATTATGTTTTTCTGTAAAAAAATCACATGTAAAAGAATAGAGAATTCATGCAATCATGCCAAATGATCATCAAAACTGATCTTGACAATACCCTCTAGTGGATATTAGAACTACTAAGTAAATATGTAAAGCGCCTGGTCACTAAAAATCATACCTCATCAAGATGAAATAAATACAGTAACAGGAACAGTGAGAACCAGTGTGTTTACAAGTGCCTCAAACATCAAACTTTTACATTTATACCAGAAATTAGAACAACTCCCAAGGAAGACTGAGGAATTGTCTGCTTGATTCCTTGGAGGTCTTAAAATGGGTTGGGAAAATGGGTTTGATTTTGGTGCCATTTTGCTCAAACATAGGGATGTAAACTTGATGACCTCCTAAAGTCACTTTGAGACCAACAGCTTAATTGATTCGAAGAAGGGAACAGTTTCCTTTTGCTTGTCTTCGAGGAAGGTTCGTGTCCCATGTCCTCATCCAGGGTGATTAGTTAGTGTTAGAGGGTGATGACACATGGCCCAGCTACTAGCAAGGGTGAATATGTGGCTCTGTTCCGATCCAGAAGTTTCCTCCCTTTGTGCAGTGAACTGGGGCCGGTGCAGGGCACCCGATCCGGGGGGTCATCTTTAGTCAGCCTCGAAGGCACTGTTGGTAGCTCCCACGTACTCAGACTTCTTCTTGTGCCTGGTCCACATTTTCCGGAGGATGCTGGGCATGCCGCAGGGAGCACTTCCTGTTAGCGGAAGGGAGGCTTCTGCTCCCTGGGGGAGGGTTGGAAATTCTTCAGTCATCTTCTTGAGGTGTCTGGATCTACAGAAAAGCCGAGGTGGGTGGGGAGGGCGGTCACTCTGCTGAGCCTGACTGTTAACTATTGCCCTCGACAAGTACAGCTGGAGCCCCTGCTCCTTCTGGGCCCTTATAACCTGTGACCATGTGGAGGGTCCCTGTTGGCCTCACGCAGGAATGACACCCCTCCCCCCGCCCCACAGGGGGTCCTTGCATGCGGAAGGGAAGGAGGTGGACCTGGGTCCACTAGCGCACAGATCTCAAGTTCAGTTCTTGTTCCAAACTCTACTCTCCCACCCCTGCCCCGCCCCTCAACCTGAACGATTTTGCTGGAAAGGTCAGATGTCACGAATCGTCACCTCTTGAAAGTGAATCGGCCCTGGGGCTGAATCTGGCTCCCACTTACTCTATGACCTCAGTGATTTGACTTTGGCCAGCCTCAGTTTCCTCATGTGTAGAATGGAGATAATTTCATTTAACTCTTGGGGGTTTTGTGAGGAGGGAAATAAGACTATATAAAGTATCCGGCACATTGTTGACCTCAATAAAGGTTCATTTTCCTCATCACTTGCTCTCCTTTAGTGAAAGAAGCAGCCTTTATTTTCTTTTCTATAGCCAGGGTCCAGGAAAAAAATGACATGAGAATATCTACACTTAGGGACAAAGGGGCCATTTAGAAGAACCCTTTGCAGTAGATGCAAACGGCTCATTTCTTGAGGGGGTTCATGTTTGCTGGTTCCTGCAGCTGACAGCAGCAGCCTTACCTGCTCAGAACAACTTGCTACCAGAATTTAATGCAATTGAAATGATACTTTTGGGACTTCTCTGCTGGTCCAGTGGCTAAGACCCTGTGCTTCCAATGCAGGGGCTGTGGGTTCTATCCCTGGTTGGGGAACTGAACTCCCACATGCCTCAAGGTGTGGCAAAAAAAGAGAAAGAAATCATACTTATCTCTCATCATATCCCGATATGTCGATGGCTTGGTTTTTACTGTTTGTTCTAGACTGCATTCTTTCATCTAAAAGGGCTTCACACTGGTTTGGTCCTCCTTTAACTCCCTCAGCTTTTAAGGTGTGCACCCCTTGGGCTGATATGATAGCCCATGGTCCCTCATCTGTGAGCATGGCACATGTCCCCAGGCACGTGTCCTTCCCATTCACATATTGTAAAGCTTCTTGAAACATGATGCAGTCATTGGTGCAAGGTCTCCACACATTATCTCATCCAGTTCTCACAATAACCCCTCAAGAGGTTATAATTATCCCCATTTTTTGGTTTTGTTTTTAAAGAAATGAGGACACAGAGGTCTGAATAACTTGCCTGAAGTTACAGCAAGTCAGCGGCAGTGCCAGCCACACAGGCAAAACTGAGTCAAGAGCCCACACTCTTCGTCATCCCTGAAGCCACTTTCCTGCTCCCTCCAAGTCTGGAGGATTGTGGTGGGGGTGTGGCCATCTTCTTAGAGTTCCATTGAAGGCAGTGGGGTGGTCCTTGGGGGTGTGGGTATTGCTCCGGCTATTCTAGCTGCTGGTTCTAGAGCAGAGTTGATAGTAATGTGGTTGTTGTAGTTTTGTCACTCAGTCTTGTCCACTCTTGTGACTCCATGGACTACAGCCCGCCAGGCTCCTCTGTCCATGGGCCTGCCCAGGCCAGAATACTGGAGTAGGTTGCCACTTCCTTCTCCAGGGGATCTTTCTAATTCAGATATCAAACCCTTGTCTCCTACATTGGCCGGCAGATTCTTTACCACTCAGTCACCAGGGAAGCCTTAATAGTGACATGCAGGTCATAAATTTGGTTTGAAACCTTTGTATCTTATGTACTTATTACCTGGGCAGGGGCCCTGAACCTAACGTGTGAGGCATTTCAGGAGGCTCTGCGTATGGCCTGTGATTGTGTGTGTGTGTGTTAGTAATTCAGTTGTGTTGGACTCTTTGAGACCCCATGGACTGTGGCCCACCAGGCTCCTCTGTCCATGGGATCCTCCAGGCAAAAATACTGGCATGGGTTGCCAGTTCCTTCTCCCTGCCCTGTGATTAATTTATCTAATTAACCAAAAGTCCTCCCAAATGACACTTCTCCAGGTCTAAAGAGTAGCGGTAATGAAGTAGAAACCATCAAAAAACACTTGAGCTTAATCCTAGTGAAACAGTCCATGAGGTGCTACAGAGGCCCGGGATTATAGCCCTCATTAGAAGGTCATTTATGGCAGGCAGGGATTTGGTTTTAGCATCTCTCCGGGATCTGTCAGCCGGGCCACCTGTTACTCTTCTGTGCAGGTGGAGGATGGGAGCAGGTGGGGAGCCCCTGGGAGCTTGCTGGAGGCACAGCACTTACCCTCTAGTCAGCACAGCTACATTCTCTGAGCCTGGGGCTGCCGCCTCCAGGACCGTGGGGGCTTTCACGGAGATCCGGGCCACTGGAGGCATCTGGGTTGTGAGAAGGGAGAGTGAGGTTGTTGCCCTGTCCCCAGCTCCTGCACTGGCTGGAGCCATTGGAAAGGGCATTGGCTAAGCTGCTGAACCGGCATCAACCTAGGGCAATGGACCTCACTCCGCCTTGGGCCCTAGGCTCCCCTAGGGGGGGCATGTCAACGCAGCGCTGGGACCACCCTCGCTTCTGACTCAGTAGGTCGGATGTTGGCCTGAGAAGCCGCCTTTCTAACAAGTTCTCAACTGCTGCTGGTCCCCAGACCCCACTTTGGGAACCACTCACCTGGAGAAACTTGAAAGTGAGCAACTTATTCTAGCCCGAGCTCTCTCTTCCCCTAGTACCCCCACGATCTGTGTCCACTTTGTTGTCACATCCTGCAGGTTCTCGCTTGGAAATGAGACCAAGTGCAGTGACATTCTCCTCCACTGAGCCTCAGGGCCAGTCACCCAGGACAGGATCTCCTTGCTTCCCACCAGACCTGCCCACACCCCAGGCCCCTCCTAGAATCACAGGGTCTCCCCACCGAGGACGGACCAAGGTCAGCTCCGTCCCCTGCTGTGTGCGTGTGTGCTCAGTAGTTCATTCATGTCTGACTCTCTCGTCATCCCCTGGACGGCAACCCGCCAGGCTCCTCTGTACACGGGATTTTTCAAGCAAAAATACTGGAGTGGGTTGCCATTTCCTTCTGCAGGGGATCTTCCTGGCTGAGGGATAGGCTGCCTGCATTGCAGGCAGACTTTTTACCTGCTGCTCTTTAAGGCTCCTCAAAACAGGACTCCCCTTATCTGCCTCTGTTTCCCCCACATGACCCCGCGGGGCTGGTCCTGCCTTTTCTGATGCTCACCCACAACTCTGCATCCTCACCCAACCGTTCCTTCACTCCCTGGATTAAGCCTCATCTCTGCCTGCCCTTCAAGGCCACTTCCTCCAGGAAGCCTTCCCTTAGGCTGGTGCCCACGTTGATTTATCTCCGTCTCTTGTCCTCACGGCACTGAGTCCCTGTGTGTTATGTTTTGCAACCCACCAATTCTGTGTCTTTATGTTTCTCTGTTTCCTCTGCTTGTGCAGTCTCCCCAGGAATGGCTTGGCCTGGATCCGGGTTTGGGACTTAACCCTTTGCTGGCTCTCCTCTTAAAGGAGGTGGTGAGTGCTCAAGAAACATGAACTGAGTTGAGAAGGAACTGGTGGCCTGAGCAGGGCCAGGTCCAGAGTTTGTTCAGTCAGTAGATCTCCCCTTTGCTCCTCCACCCCAAGCCCCAGGGAAGGCTTAAGGTCACCGCATTCCTGGAATTGCTGGAAAATTCCAGGCCAAGGGCACCAGGATCCTTCCCCGCTCTCCTGCGCTGGCCCAGGGCTGTGGGCAGAGCCACTGTGCCACCTTGTGGCCTCTAGGGAGCTGTCCCTCCGGTCGTGCCAGTGGCCAGAAAATCGCTTCTTCCCCCACTGTCCTCCATCCTGTTTCCTCCAGCGCATATTAATGTCCAATCAGATTTGACTGTGTGAGCTCTGAATTGCTCTCCCCACCCTGGGATAGTGGGCCTCCAAAGAGCTGCAGGACCCCAGCCCCATGGTCTCAGGCCCAGAGGAAAGGGTCAGTCAGGCTGCTGCTCTGCCCTCTTGCTGCCCCTCCGTTGTGATTACATCTCCATCACCATCACTGACTTCCCGGCTGCAGCTACCTCTCCAGGGGTGAGGGCACGTTCATCCAAGGTGATGAACTGCCCTCTTCCCCTTAGTCAGGGCTTGCTGAGGGCAGCAGTTCAAGCTGTCAAGCCTGACAACCCTCACTCTGCGGCAACAGCCAAACCACCCTGGGTTGCCCCTGGGTACCAGTTTGAGGCAGGGAGCTCCTGATTGTCCCATCGCTGCCCTTTGGGCGATTTTTCTAATACAGGGATGACCTAAATGAAATAATTGAATTAGATTTCCTGCCCAGACCAGGAGCGAAGCGCTCACATCTCTGCCCAGTTTGTTTCATAAAGACAAGCAGGTGGCTCAGACATTCTCTCCATTCTGTACTAGCTCTCATGATCCATGAATCTTGAGATCTGATGCCCACAGAGTCCAGGACGCCCAAGCTGACCTCTCCTTCAGCCACCACTCAACCCCTTCTCTGCTGACCCAGAGAGTACCCAAGTTCCTGCCTGGAAGATGACAAGGGAGATGTGTTTTCACAGGGTGATGCTGAGCTAGACCCAGACACGCACTATGTGATCCCCCTTCAGGGAAGGACAAGCCACCCAACTAGGGGTGGGTGGGCCGCAGGTGGCTTTTGGCTCCTTCAGGTGTCCTTGGCCGCCAAGGGCCACCTCGCCCAAGGTCACCCCCCTCCTGGGAAGCCCGCATACCATGACAGAGTCAGGGGAAAATATAAAACCTTGGTCAATTGGATCCATCTCGGGCAACCCCAGTGGACGACACTTGCCTCAGTGCTCCCGGGGGAGGCGGTTCAGTGGTTTCCTCTGAGATGACGGTGTTTTGTGCTTTCACAGAGCTCGAGACTCTTGCATCTCTTTACCCCTGTAGCTGCTTCTGGGAATTGGACGGGCACCTCCACCCAGCAGGGACTTACCACAGAAACTGCCTCCCTCCCCCTGTGTGAGATGTCCGCTAGGTAATACCTTCTGTTTGCCTAAGAGCTGAATATCTGGCAAGAAAGAGATCAGCAGCCAGTGGTGTACTGCTAGCTGACGGGCTTTAGGAGAAAGAACCCTCAGCTGCGCTTTTCTAATAATCCCCAGGCCTGGGACAAAGGACACTTATTCTCCCTTCATGGCACAGATAGGGAGAGATGTTTAAAGCCTGGAAGATACAGCTAACCAGGCTAGATTACTTACCAAAGCTTTGCCATATGTTCGATTCCCACACAGATTTGCTGATTTGGGTTCCGATGTCCCCACTGAAAGTTGAACGGAGGGGACGTTACTTGGTGGTACTCTGTGTTCTACCTCCTCTGGTTCTGCATCAATTATCTTGTTAGTTAATCAAATCACAGATGCAGGAATTTCTAAGGGCCTTTTTACCGAGTGGCAAAATCAGGAACTAGGGTCAGCAATGGGGCTGTCAAGTGGGTCACTTGCATTAAATGAGACAATGTTTATGTGTTTTACACTCAGCACATCACCTGACACAGTAAATATTCAAAAATATTTACTGGCACTCTTCAGGGGGCTAGAACTAAGGTCTAATAAGATCACATATGTCAAGGTGTTCAGTATGGGGTTTGCCTGCAGTAGGTGCCCAGAGGATGTGCCCTTAGCTCCTCCTTCCTTCCTAAGGAGTCACATCACATGACATTATCAGGAGTTAAGTCTTTACAGTGGGGATCAATCATTTAACCTGTGCTCCTGGACACACCTCTGTGAAAATGAGCCTGTCTCATAACATGGCAGGATCGGAGGTTATCAGTGTCCTGAGACACTGGCCCAAGACGTAAGTGAAAGCCTTCTTTCTGTGCCTTTATTTCTGAGGCCCGTGCTTCTGGGAATCCAGGTGTTGAGCTGAGTAGCTAGTGATGGGCAGGCAGAAGCTGGCCTTTGATGGAGTCCCTCTTGGGACAGATGTTCCTGGTGGAGCTCCATCCTATCAGACTATAGCATAGAGAACATGCCCATCACCCCAAGGAAAACATCTCAATGCCAATAAAATGAAGTCACAGGCTATGAAGATCAGATCATTGACGTATCATGCTCTGCCATAAGTGATGACAGTAGCTTGTATGTTTTAATATTTACTGTGTCAGGTGCTGTACTGAGGGTAAGACACATAACCGTCATCTCATTTAATCCTCACTATAATCCTCACTCCTCCTCCAATGTGCTGTGCTCAGTCATGTCCGACTCTTCGTGACTCCATGGACTGTTAGACTGTAGCTCGCCAGGCTTCTCTGTCCATGAGATTCTCCAGGCAAGAATACTGGAGTGGGTTGCCATTTCCTCCTCCAGGGGAAACTTCCCGATCCAGGGATCGAACCCTCATCTCCTGCCTCTCTTGCATTGCAGGTGGATTCTTTACCACTAAGCTGTTGGGGAAGTCCTTACAGGTAGACATAATAATAGGTGAGGAAATGCAGTCTTTAAAGATGCACAGCAATTATGATGAAGCTGGGTGAGGATGACTTAGGGAATGGCAAGCTGACCTCTTTTGTTGTCTTGCAGGGCTAGGGAAACTTGACAGAGGGAAACCCTAACCCATTCTGGGAGGAGTTTGTTAGGCAGAGAGACCCAGGGAGGGCAACCCACAGAGTGAATAGTGTCAGGGAAGGTCTAGGATATAATAGAATATAATGAGTGGTCACAGCTCAGGATTGTTCTGTGTATGGATTGGTGGGGACAGGAGTGTCACAGGAGGTGGCCCTGGAGAGGGAGCAGAGGACTGGGTCCTACAGGGCCTTGGGTGTGGTCTGGAGGGCGGCTGGGGGTGGGAGGACACAGTGTTTAAGGCAGAGGGGTAACAGATTTTGCTGTAGAAGGACCCTCTAGCAGCCTTGTGGAGGGAGAGGGCCTGGCAGCTGAGGACCGAGGTTGGCTGCTGCACACCAGGGATGAATGAAGTCTTACCAGGTAGCCTGAGGTTGGTACCAAGAAGAGACGAGACCTATGTAGGAGCTGACATTGTCAGTGGTTGGTGTGTGGAGTAGGGGTGGGGGAGGACATGGTAGGAGGTTTGGGTCAATACCCCAGCGATTTGCTGGAAAGATGGATAGCGATATCAGCTGAGGAAGGGAGAGAGGTTTAAAGGTGGCAGACAATCATGTTTGAACAAGTTGATTCTGAGATGTCCAAGGCCACCTTGTTGGAGAGGTTCCACCAACCCAGGAGATGGGGTGTCCCCTTTCCTGGGCACCTAAGATTCACCTGCTCAAGGCTGCAGGCTGAGAGGGTTTCTCAGCTGGGCCTCTGCCTTCAGAGTCCTGCTATGTCTAAGCTTCCTCAGGGCATATTTCTGCCACAGGAGAAGGCTGCAAACCCAGGAGCCTTCTCCTGTAGCTCAGGAGAGAACTGGATCTCCGGATGTCAGATCGCCGAGACACATGTCCTTCTCACAGGAGGATGGCAGACTTGTGTCCGAGGCTGGTGCCCAGCCTTTCTAGGGGAGAGCACTGGCGCCTGGCTTTGACTCAGACACCCTCCCTCCCTCTCACCCTCCCCTGGAATCTGTCAGATTGTGGGAGCTGAGGGAGTTGAATCCATGCCCAGCTCAAGCTTTTTTTTTTAACCTGACTCGCACATTCCCTGCATGAGCTGACTGTCACATGTCGGGCAGAGTCTCCTCATTTCATAACTGAGTGTTCTGTCCTCCAGTCCAGGCTTCCACAGGCTGCTTAGGGAGAAAAGCCTGAAAAGCCTGCCTGAAACTAGACAGTTGGAAGACATTATTTTCTGGAGGGGAAGAGGCAACTAGCTGGGAAACCAGGAGACCTGAGATTTAATCTCAGTTCTGTTGCTAATGAGCGGTGTGACCTACCTAGGTCAGCTAGTTTCCATGGTTTCCGTTTCCTCTCCTGTAGATCCACAGGGGGAGCTTGCAGGAAATCTGTGGGCCTCCACCTTCGGGGTCAATAGAATCACTGGGGAGCAGGCGTGTTAAGGCAGATGGCTGAACCTACCCCAGAATTTGACTACACAGGTCTTGGGTGGGACCCAAAGTTTGCCTTTCAAGCAAGTTCCCAGGTGATTCTGCTGTTCTTCCTGGGACACCCCTTTGAGAACCACCCATTGGATTGTCTCTAAATCCTTGGTCATCAATATGTTGTCCTTGGATCAGCATTGTCAGAATCATCTGGAAGCTTATTAGAAACAAAATCTGGGGCCTTACTCAGTCCTGAATTAGACTCTGCATAAAAACAAGATTCCCAGGTGATTCTCTGGTACATTAAAGTTTGAACAACATGGTTCTAAATTCATTTTATCATTTTATGGAGAAGGTATCCTTTTCTTCTACACACAGGCACCCATCCACCCACCCACCTATATATAGACAGAGGAAAAAAATTATCTTCTCTTAATTTGCAAGGCAGATTGTAGTTTCCCTCATGCTTTCATTTTCTGTAAAAAAGATATATATATGTAATCACTTAACTAGAGAATATAGCTTGATTTATGGGTTCTCATACTTAGGCTCGTAAAAACAGGATCAGTGTGTTTGTGACCAAAGAAACTTTAGAAATCTAGTCTAAGATCTATGAAGGAGGAAAGAGGGAAGATGGTTGGATGAAGAGCCATACTCAGTGGGGTCTAATTTCAGTTCTTGTAAAATACAAAATAGCTGACACTCCAAAGCTTTGAATAGGACGCCCAAGACTTTTTGTGTATTTCTGGAGTTAAAAATATGAATAACTATAGGCTGTGGGCATAACAGAAATAAACTAAACCAGGAATTAAAGGCAAGACACCATCAAGACTTCAGCAAGCTAGACACAGATTCCTATTTAACTGCTGGGGTGGGAGCTGTTTTTTTTTAAATAGTGTGGAAGGTAAGACTCTGTTTCCAACTTTCAAAACGAATTTGTCTCTAAATTCTTTTTATAAATTGTTGAAATAGTTAAAGCCATTCAAATTTAAAATAGTGGGATTTTAAGATGGCAGCTGATGAGTCTGTATAATTTCACACACACACATACAGCTTAATGTAAGCTTCTTTTACTTCATGAGTCGTGTCTACACCTGTTTCCTCTCCTCCAGAATAGAGTGATTTTTAGTCTCCTCCTGGATCCCGCAGGACTGCCTCTGGAGCTAGGTGGTAGATGAGAGCATCTTTGCTCATCAGGCAGACCCAGAAGCCAGTGGTTTAAGGCAGAAGGTGTTTTGTGGTGCGGCGGTGGGTGGGGCCGAGAGCAGGTGCATTCAGAGCGGGACCAGCATGCACTGCGCAAGGCAGCGGCCCCACTCCAGCCACAGGCACCGCTCACCTGGCCTGATGGAGGTCACAGGCACCGCTCACCTGGCCAGATGGAGGACCCCAGGGAGGGCCGCGAAGTGGTGGCAGCAAAGCCAAGCCAGGACGCAGGCACTGTGGCAGCCGCTCTAAATGGGTCACTGCCCCTCAGGGAGGTCCCAGGGACCGCAGGGCCGGGATGCACCTACCAGGCCTGGCGGGAGTCTTGGCCGGATGGGGACCCTGCAGCCGCGGGTTCTGGAAGCGGCCCGACCTGCGGCCGTCACCGTCGCGGCGGTCGGTGCGGTGCGGCAGCAGCTCCAGGGGCCGCGGCGCGTAGAGGTCTGACTCGACCACCACCTGCGGGGAGGAGGAAGGACGTGAGTCACCTTGTTCCTCTCCTGGAATCTCAGAACCCACAGCAGAGGCCCAGCCCTGCAGCTTTGCAGGGGGACCTTGTGCCAACATGGAACTGCTGGCGCTGTTGAGGGGAGCGTGAGAAAACCTGGGGGAGACTGGCCCGAGACAGTGAACCGTTGTATTGTACTCCAGCAAGTCCAGGGGTCCCGCGGTGCAGGAGGATGAGGTTTCTGAAGGTTCCCCACCAGCTGTCCCTTCAAAGAGCCAGCAGCCTGGGCCATCAGGCCCCCGGTGGAGGCCGGCTCCCTGCCTCAGAGCCAAATATGGTTTGACAACGGGTCAGGAATATTTTGGCCACCTAATGGAAAGAGCTGACTCATTGGAAAAGACCCTGTGGGAAAGATTGAGGGCAGGACGAGGAGGGGGTGGCTGAGGATGAGATGGTTGGATGGCATCACCAACTCAGCGGACGTGAGTCTGAGCAAATTCCAGGAGACAGGGAAGGACAGGGAAGCCTGGCGCTGCAGTCCACAGGGTTGCAAAGAGTTGAAAGCGACTGAGCAACTGAACAACAACAACTTGAAATGGGGATGGCTCTGGAAATTGGGGTCTTGCAGCCTTTGCAGCTCAGTGGGAGCCCTTGTTTATGTAGGCCACGGTTTTTTGGATGCTCCATCAGAGAGACCTAGGGAGAGGACTTGGGCCCCACCTGACACCCTGGTTGTAAAAAGAAAGAAGCTGTTGGCAAGAGGAGCAGGCATGGCTCATGGATACTCACACTTCCTCAGCTTTGCAGAATGCCTGTGTCAGGTGGAGCTGTGACATGAATTTCCGTGACTTGTGGCTGGTAAGTGGAAATTCTGGCAAGCTAGAATAGAGTGCTACTTGCTAAAGTGTTTTCACCAATGGTCACCTGCTGAATAGTTGTTTGGGGGAAAGTACATTAAGAAGAATACCACTTTTGTCAGGGTCCACCAAAATGGGCCTTTAAAATTATTTTAAAAATTTAAATTATTGAAATGATTTAAATGTAAAACTTTGAGACAAATAGTGCTTTATTTTATCTGAATTTGGGAGTGAGGTGACAAAGGGAATCTCAACAGCTTTTGGGTCTTATCTTGCCTATTTTTATACATAGCTGCAAACGACAGTGGGGTCATTCATTCTGAATGTGTTCAGTCCTGTGAAGCAGGTTGGAACCTCCAGCATTATACAGCAGCCTCTCTGAGGTTTGGATTCACTTATTCTGTTGTTCAGTTGCTCCTTCCTTGCACAGACATACTGCGAGGGCACATTTGTGTTAGATCCTGGCACTGGGTGTATCTGAGTGAGGTGGACCTATCTCAGCCCTTACAGTCCAGGCTTTGATGAATTCCCCTCTGTTGTCTGCAAATAATGATTGCGGTTGAAGCTGAAGCAAATAAGACTGAATTTTAAATATTACAATACGGTGATATTTTATCTTAGTGGAGGAAAATTGGACCTTTAATAAATACGAGGCCACTAGGGGACGTGGATTCATGACCACACTTCTCATACCAAAATGAGCATCAGACAGGTCAAAGGTGAATGTTAAAAAAACAAAAAACTAACACAAGAGTATGGCCCAGTATAGCATTTGTTACCGATAATAGGGAATTGTCCCTGTGTACATAAAACTCTTGCCAATCAATAAAGAAGAAAAAAACAATAGGAAAATGGGGCCAGAAACCAGCTGGCAATTGACAATAGACATACCAGTGGCCAGTAAATATGAAAGATTCTGGACAACAATAATTAAATGTAAATTAAAACAAAGTTGTCTTTTCTCCTATCAGATTGTTAATGATGAAGAAGATGAATCTCTATTTGGGGTCATGCATACAGGAGTTCAGACCCCGAGTCTGGTACTTTGAGACTGTGTGGAATGGTGTCCTTCTCTTGACCATCCTTGCTGGTTGGGGCACAGTCAATGCTGGTCATTCACAGAGATTTCAGGAACACAGCAGGCTCTTCCCTCGTGTCATCCGTTTCCCTACCAGTGACTAGTGCCAGTGGTCATGTCCCCAACAGAGGAAGGGGAGCTATCACTCTTCGCTTCAGTTTATCACAAATAGTCCTTTGCTTAGAAAATTAATTTATCCCCAATTTAGTCATATCTGGCTTAGGAAATTAAATCTTCTCATGCCCATTTTGGGAACTAGACTCATTTATTTTTTGCCTTTGGAGAAAGCTGATGATAATTCAGGACCATTTAAAATTAGGTCCCTTTCTCCTCTAGGCACTGCTGGAGGTGGGGTTTTTCCCTAATAATTTAAAATATTCTTTTCCGCCTTGGTTTTATTGAGGCATAATTGACACATATAATTGTATATGTTTGAGGGGTATAGTATGTTAGGTTGACATGTTTATAAACTGCTAAGTGATTAGAAGGGAGGTGTTTCTGCTGGCTTTCTAGCAAGCCTTTTCCAACAAGGTGGATTTCCAGCAAGCTTGGGGCAGCACTCATGGACTCTACAGCAGCAATGGGTCCCCCCCGAATGTGGACTTCCAGGTCAAACGGGAGAGATGGGAGCCCCATTACTGGCATTAAGGCCTTTGACTGTCAGCCTCTCGTCACAGGTATTTTAGATCTTTATTTTCCTTCTCTCAGCATTCCTCTAATGAGGAGTGAGAACTGGTATGTTTTCCAACCCATTTTGTAGATGGAGGAAGTAGGGACGTGAAAGCCTATGAAGTCCAGGGGGGCAGCCTAGCATTTCCTCCTCAGAAAAGGATCCCCGTGGCTGATTCATGTTGATGTATGGCAAAAACCATCACAATATTGTACAGTAATTATCCTCCAATTAAAATGATCTAATTGGATTCTTTACCATCTGAGCCACAAGGGAAGCCCAAGAATACTGAAGTGGCTAGCCTATCCCTTCTCCAGGGGATCTTCCCAACCCAGGAATTGAACCAGGGTCTTCTGCATTGCAGGTGGATTTTTTACCAGCTGAGTTACCAGGGAAGCCCAAAATAAATGAATTAATTTTTAAAAAAGTTCCCTTTGAAGAACAAGAAAGGCCCCCTTTGCAGTCCCTTCTCTGCACTGTGGCGGGGTGGAGGGGAGACAGGAGGGGGAAGGAGAGAGTGCCGAGGCTTCAGCTACTGGGGAGGGAGCCCCACTGGATGCAAGTTTCCTGGGGTGGGGATGAGGCTGGGTTCTTCCCAAGTCATGACCTAGGGCCCTGGCCCTCAACAGGTTATCTTCTTGGCCCTGAAGGATGCCAATGCAGGAAAGGAAAGAGGAGAGGCCTCACCTCTGCAGATTTCCTTCTCAGCTGGCCTTGTGCTTATGTCTCCTGACACAGTTGGGGAGCTCTGAGAGGCCTCGGGATAGTGTGCTAGGCCCATGCCAGGGAATGGACAGCTGGTTCTGAAGGCTCCCAACAGCCTGGCTTATTCTCTGGCCTAAAGGACCCAATCTAAGTTCCCTACTGCCGCTAGTTTTAGAACAAACCGATCTGAGAGCAGGCTCTTTAGCTCCCTGAGCACAGCAGTGAGATTGGGGAAGGGGCGAAGGGGAGACCAGTGTTTAATGTTGGGTTTTTCCTTTCTGAGGTTAGCGAATCGCCTGCTGAAAGTAGACATTGAACTCGTGTAACAGCTATATTCTGATAGGTTGATGCTCCCTGGATGGGCTCATGTCAGAGACCTTGAGGGCAGGTAGGGAGTCAGAAAGACAGGTGGGACCTAGATGATGGAAGATCATCATCATTAGGGGCTGATAGGATCCGTAGCAAAGTTCTAGCTCAACTTTCTAATTTTATACACAGGGAGACTGAGGCCAAGGGGAGCCCTGTGTCTTCAAGGTCCAGACCATGGTTTCATGAGTCCTAGGGGAGTACTAACATCCAGGTAAGAATTTTCAAGTGCAAATTGTTTGCATGGTGCATTTTGAAAAAGTCAGAGCACCAGAAAGAAAAATCACATCAGCCCCTCTCCACAAGATTGAAATCTGGGGTGAAAGTGACATTTGCAGTCTTATTCTTCCATCTTTCCTGTGGTGTTGCCACTGCTTATTATGAGGAGGCTGTGAATCTTGGTGTCAGGGGCTCCACTGAACTGAGAGGCCTGACTGACCCATGCTTTAGTGTAAATCTATTCCTTTGAGCTACTCTTACGTTGTCTGTAGAATCAGGATGATCAGAATGTCAATTGTTGTTGTTCATTTGCTAAGTCATGTCCAACTTTTTGTGACCCCATGGACTGTAGCTCGCCAGGCTTCCCTGTCCTTCATCATCTCCCAGAGTTTGCTGAAACTCATGTCCATTGAGCTGGTGATGCTATCCAACCATCTCATCCTCTGCCGCTCCCTTCTCCTTTTGCTGTCAATCTTTCCCAGCATCAGGGTCAATAACTTTGCCTAAGAATCAGAGGGGGTGCGGGGAAAAAACTAATAAAACTTTCTAGAGAAGGGACAGTGTGTGACGGTAGAAGAAGTAAATTACGAGGGGTCCGTAGAGGGAGAAACTGTGTCACTAAGAATGAGTCAGAGAGGAAAGAGATATTTGTAAAGGAAGAAAACTGACATGGTATGGTATAGCCCAAGGGTTGAGACTAGATGCAAATAAGAATTTCAGGGAAAAGTCATAAATACTGGTATGTAAGAGCAGTTGCAAAAGACCTTTCCTGTCTTTTCTAATTTGAATGTATGGCTGAGTGTGAATTTTATGAGCAGAGGATGAGTCAGGCAGTTAGGGGAAATCAGAAATTCAGAGGAGAGCTCAAAGGCCAGAGAGTGTTATTAAGCTGTCTTACCTGTAGGAAGATTGCATATTTGAAGACAAGATCCTAACTTCTGTTTTTTTTTTAATCAAAAGCAATTTTTAATATGTATTCATCTACTTGAATAATTTTTTTCTCAAAGTAAAAATATTTTAGAGAGGGAGAGTCATAAACTATAAACATAACAGTCTTTCTTAGAAACCTCCATTCCCAGGAAAGCTAAGAGCTTGGTTCTAAAGAGTTTTGTTGTTGTTTAGTCCCTAAGTCATGTCTAACTCTTTGTGACCCCATGGACTGCAGCACACCAGGCTCCCCTGTCCTGCATTGTCACCTGGAGTTTGCTCAGATTCATGTCTGTTGTCTATAGAGCCTGGCTGAAGTCAGCTGGTTATTCCAGGAGGCAGTGCTCCATGTTTTGGGGGCTTCCTGTACCTCATGCCTGTGTGTCTTCACCTCTACCATGGAGAGTTGTCTCCTTTGTTTAGATTCTGAATCCCTTGAGAAATTTCTTCCCTAGGACCCTATTTACCTCCTAGAAAGTATGGTTTAGTTTCCATTTTATCATCACAGTTCTGTCCTCATAAAGCTAGTAGACATTGGTATAAGCAGTGATTCAGACACAAACATTGTTTATGGTTAGGAATTCAAGGCAAGAACTTGGTTGAGAACCAAACATTCCTAATTCCCAAAGGACCTTCCCTGAGTCATGAATGATTTGTGGTCCTTCAAATCCAGAGTCCAGATATTTCTTAATTTACAATGGAGTTACATCCTGATAAAAACCCTCAAAATATCATTAAGTCGAAAATGCATCTTATACAACTAATCTGCCAAACATCACAGCTGAGCCTGCCTCAGAATACTTACATCAACTTCTGCAAAATCATCTCGCACAGTCTATTTTATTATTAAGTATTGAATGTCTCATGTTATTGGTTGAATACTTTTCTGGAAGTGAGAAGCAGAATGGTTGTCTGGGTGCAGAATGGCTGTAAGTATATCCTGTTTATCCTTGTGATTGTGTGGCTGGTGGAAGGCTGTGGCTTGCTACACTGCCCAGCGTCACAAGAAAGTATTTTGTACCATGTATTGCTAGCCTAGGAAAAAATCAAAATTCAAAATTTCAAGTATGGTTTCTGAATGCATTTCATTTTGGCACCATAGTAAAGACAACAGTCATGAAAGTGAAGACATCATAGGTTGGGGACCATCCGTAATGCCAAACTTGATTCTGTTCTCAAAGTTGAAATTACCTACAAACAACCCCTCTCTTTTCCATTTTTGGGGACACTTGCTGCTTCTTGAAACTCAGGAGCTCTGGACATCCCTGGTAGTGCAGGGGTTAAGAATCCACCTGCCCATGCAGGGGACATGGGTTTGATCCCTGGTCCAGGAAGATTCCACATGCCATGAGGCAACTAAGCCTGTGTACCACAACTACTGAGGCCTGAGGGCCTAGAGCCCATGCTCTGCAAGAAGAGAAGCCACTGCAATGAGAAGCCCGTGCACCTCAACTAGAGAGTAGCCTCCGCTCACTGCAAGTAGAGAAAGCCCATGTGCAGCAGTGAAGACCCAGTGTAACCAAAAATACATAAATAAATAAAATTTTTTTAAAAAAAGATCACTTTCCTTTCTAGATTGTGGGCTTAAGTTTTTAGGGGTCATGAGAAATAAGAATTCTTGCCTTACAACAAAAAAACCATTAAAAGCCCTTTCTTTCTTAATATATAAAATATTCTCAAAGGTCAATTTAAAAAGGGACATACAAGTGACAAAAGACATGTCTTTTAACTCACAGGGAAAAATATAAAAATCTATGAAAAATGAAGAATGATATTATAATTAAAGAAATGCAAATTAAAATAGTTTCACCTATCAGATTGTCAGTAACAACACTGATGCCATATAGTATTGGTTTAACTGTTCTGGTAAAGGTACTTTAGAACAGTTGCTAAGAATTTGGCAATGGCTATAAAATTTTTTCAGTGTTTATATCCTTTGAGCTTTGTTCTTTCTTTTTTAAAATTGACACACAGCATTGTGTAAATTTAAGTATAAGGTGTTGTTTTGATGACCCAGCATTTTCATATCTATGAATTTACCCTCAAAAACATTTGCATAAGAACATAAAAATACATTCAAGAATATTTCTTGTGGCACTATTTTAGTGGAAAAATGGGGAAACCCCATTTATTGATGATTTGGTTAAATAATCTAGAAAACTTCAGATCTGGATTGAGTGAAAAATTATAGTACATTCATACAATGTCATACAGCCTCTAAAAAGAATGGGGAAGGTCTGTATGTATTAACTGGCATGTAAAAATTTCAAAATTTATTTAGTGAAAAAAGTAAATTGCAAAACAACATATAACTGAGCAATAAAGCATAAGAACTACGTATTGTTATATGAGAAATTTTCACTTAAAAGTACTAGTGTTTATTGAATGCTCAGTATGTGTGAGGCTTTGGACTAAGAACTTGAAAGAAAGTGAAAGTGTTAGTCACTTAGTCGTGTCCAACTCTTTGTGACCCTCTGAACTGTAACTCTGTCCATGGGATTCTCCAAGTAAGAATACTGGAGAGGGTTGCCATTCTCTTCTCCAGGGTATCTCCCCACCCCAGGGATTGAACCCCAGTCTCCTGTATTGCAGGCAGATTCTTTACTGTCTGAGTCACCAGAAAAGCCTGAGGACTTCATGTGTATTAAATCATTTGTCCCTTCCAATGGTTCTTGGGACATATTCTCCCATTATCCCCATTTTAACATTAACAAAGTCGAGTCCCAGAATGGTGGGGCTGTTTGCCCAAGGTCACAAAGCTAGAAATGGGTAGAACTGGGATGTAAAACTAGGAAATGGATAAGAACCAGGTAGTTTGACTCCAGTCTACATACCTAACCACTAAGTTCTTCAGCTTCTCAGGATTTTTCTGATACTATATTTTACATCTTTTTAGTGTTTGAAATTCTGTAATGGGAACATACTGCTTTAGAAATTTAAAAAGTAATAAATGTATTTAAAACAATGACTGAAACTTTATCTCATTTCCAGGACACTTAGAAAGTTTTTTTTTTTTTTTTTTAATGGAGAATAGGATTTTAAAAATTGAGATCCTTAGAAAATCAAAATGGTGTTCTACAAAAAAATTATGATAGAAATAGAAACTCCAGTATAACCAAGAGGGAACAATTAGCCATGAAAATAAAACTTTTAAAGTACAAAGATGTATTGAAAGCTTTTGTGTAAAGAAATCTGTAAGTAAAATGAGAAATTTCACAGGCTTTAAAGACATGTAAACTAATTTTAAGGTAATACATGTACTTATTAAAGTAGCAAAAAATAATATAAAAGCATGAAAGCCAAATATTGGTGAGGTTCGAGGTATATGGAAAAGCATTGTTGAAAGCCTGGCAATTGTTCAGAATTCCTGGTAATATGGGGCAAAACTGTAAGCAGAAAGCATCTTTTAAAAATCACTGTTGTATTGTCCACTTTAGCACAGTAGTAAGAATGCCAATGATGGATGGGTGAAACTCTTTTTTCACTTGTTAATTTTACTTTGAGGCCTATGCACCACAGAATTAATCCCCAATAGTATTTTGTACAAATAAATTTATTGCACTGCTATTTATAATAGTGAAAAAATGACATATTACAAATACCAACAATAGGGAACACCTAGATCAGGGATGCTGTACCCATATCATGGATTCTGCTTAAGAAAAGAAAATGTATGTATAAAACAAAAACTATCTGATGCAAAAGTGGGTCCGGTTCAGAGCTTTTTGTTGTCTGGTTGACATTTATTTGTCAGTTGTTTTGCTTAAGTGGACAATGGACAATGCAGCAGCAACCTGGGCTACAGAAAACCTTTCTGGTTGTTAAGAGTGTGGATGGAGAGGGGGAGTGAAGAAGCTAGACATTGCTTTTTAAATGAAAGTCAACAAAAAGGATCAAAACAGAAGTTTTCTTACATTCTTGGTTAAGAGGTGTTGCGAGCTTTTGACTCTTCTTCTGGCTGGACTGGTCACTGCAAAGAGAGAAAGGAATTGTTTTAGAGAACGCCTGTGAGACTGTGAGCTTCTTGGTGGCTCAGCTGGTAAAGAAGCCACCTGCAAGGAGGGAGGCCTGGCTTTGATCCCCGGGTTGGGAAGGGAGGAGGGAATGGCAACCCATTCCAATATTCTGGCCTGGAGAATTCCCTGGACTGTCTAGTCCATGGGGTTGCAAAGAGTCGGACACAGCTGAGTGACTTTCATTTCATGAGGCTGATGCAGCTACAGTAGCAATACTGAGAGGGTTTGTACCTGGAGTGGGACAGGGCACAGGAAGCGGGGATGGGAAGAAGAGAAGGGTGCAGCTGCAATTTTAGATGGTACTTGATCAAATGCACCAAAGTTCAGAGCAGTACTAGTCATGACAGCCCAAAGGTGAGTCATTAACAAATGAATGGATAAACTCAATGTGGCAAAGACATACAATGAACTATCATTAAGCCTTAAAAAAAAAAAAAAAGAATGAAATTCTGAAACTTGCTCTAACATGGATGAACCTTGGGCTGGAGGAAGGAAGGAATGGCGGGTTATTATTTCATGACTACAGAGCATCAGTTTGAGAAGATGAAAAAATTCAGGAAAGAGACAGTGGTGATGTTTGGACAACAATGTGAACGGACTTAATGCCACAGAACTGAACACTTAAAAATGGTTAAATGATAAAGTTTTTATTGTGTACATTTTACCACAGTGAAAAAAAATCTCAGAGAGTCAATTAGCCATAAAAAGTTACTTGATTGGGAAAAGGTATGTATTTGGTTGAAAGTGGAGACAACCGGGCATCTCTCTTGCACATTGATGTTGAGTGACTTAGAAGTGAAATCCTGCCATGTCACTACCCTGCCTGGGATGGAAATGGCTTCTTGTCAGAGGTCGGGTAAGAGCTCCGGTGAGAGCTCTGTTGGTGTTTTCTGCAGAGTGAGAGCAGCCCTGATGCCAGGAGAGCAGGGCACTGCTTGAGCCAGTGGTCTCCACTCTTCACTTCAGTGTGAGTCCCAACTTGACCGCTTGCCAGTTCTGTGACCGGGGCCCAGTGACTCATCCTCACTCCCTGTCTTCATCTGGGAGATGGGCATGGAACTCGCAGCCATCTCTGAGGGCTGTGTGCGTGCATGCTCAGTCGTGTCTGACTCTTTGAGACCCCGTGGACTGTAGTCCCCCAGGCTCCTCTGTCCATGGGATTCTCCAGGCAAGAATACTGGAGTGGGCTGCCATTTCCTCCTCCAGGGGATCTTCCCATCCCAGGGACTGAACCTCCTGCATTGGCAGGGGAATTCTTTATCCCCAAGCCACCTGGGAAGCGCCTCCAAGGGCTGCGGTGAGGATTAAATGGACTAACTTTATCAAGCCCTTAGCCTGGTGCCTGACAAAGAGTGAGTTCCCTGGCTTTAGCAGTGGTTATTAAGATTCTCCTCTTTCTCTGCAAGGTAAGGGCAGGTGGAAGGAATAGGTGATCACGTCTAGAGACTGTAGCATCCATCAGGAGTTCTCTTTCTGGAGTTTTCTCCATTTCCTCCTGCGGTTCCCCAGTTCCCCTTGCCAACCCGCTGCCCTGTTGTTTATTCCCAAGAGAATTATTCTGAAGGTTGTTCACCCTAGAATTAAACCCACTGGTGAGCTTCAGGAAATAAGTTCTGGTATAACTTCTTGGTAAAACCACAGATTTTTATCTTTTGTGTTTACTGTGAATTGTGCCTGTGAAATCTTTCCCTTAAAGGGCTCCCCTTCTCTCTGGGAAGTGAAAATACACACTCGTCCTCAGTTACAGGCTTGGTCTCTGTATTGTGCCTTTTAACTACTTAAATACCGTAACACTTGCTGATTGCCATATTTTTGTGAGAAATTAAGATGGCTCAGCTAAAAAAATGCATAGATTTAGGTTGAACCCAGTGTGGTGTGTGTGTGTGTGTGTTGGAAAGAGGGATATAATACAATCATAGGTGTGACAATGGTTCACATTGGCCTTTAGTAGGTGATGGACGGCTTCTCTTATTCACTTCTCATAGCAACTCTGTGGGATTGGGTCTCTTTATTAACTCTATTTCATAGGTAGATACTGAGGGCTAGGGTTACACAGTTGGGGTGATGGAACACAGCCTCTGCCTCTGAACTTTTGCTCCGTAAATGTTTTGTTCATTGCACATTGAATACAGTAAACAGGAGCATTTTGGGAAGGGCACACCAGGAAGAACTATAACCCTTGTTAGAGAAAATCAAACCAACTTGTATTTCTGCAGGCAGGGAAGGTGGGAATGGGATGAAGAGTTATGGATCTATCTGATAAGCAGTGACTTAGGAAGACCTGGCAGGCACCGTCTTCTCCCACTGAGAGCCTGAGGCTCTGGAGAAGGTGAGATGAGGCAAAACAAGGTGTAGGAAGAGGCAGGCTTCTTCCACTGACAGTCTAACATTAAACTGTAAATATCCGTTTCCCAGAGAACAGCTTCCTGAGCAGTGACATGACCATGAATACTGATGACTGGTTTAATACCTGGAGGTGGCCATGAATAAAAATGGCAAGAAAGAAATTCAGGGTTGAGTATTTATCTTTGACTAAGCATATTCATTGCTGTAAATCTGGAGTAAAGAGAGAAACTACATTGTACGTGATGCATTGGGTTGGCCAAAAAGTTTGTTTGGGTTTTTCCATAGCATCGTATGGAAAACCCTGAATGAACTTTCTGGCCAACCCAATATTTAATGGTGCTTACTACCTGCCAGGTACTGTTCTAGATTGCTTTGCATGTCTTCTATATCTCAATTCCTGCCCTCCCCCCACACCCCCCCCCTCGCCATAATAACCTCAGGAGATAAGTTCTAGTTCTTCCTTTTTTATAAGATTGGAAACTCAGGCCCAGAGAGGTTGAGTGCCTGTCTAAGGTCACACAGCACACAAGTGGTGGTGGATCTCTTAATGAGTCTGCTAAGCAAATGGATTCAAAGGCCCTGTTTTGAATGATTCTCTTCAGGTGAAGTATGACTTTCCTCCTGAATTGTATTTTTTGATTTAAAAGGGCCATTCAGCTTTGAGGATTTTCTCCCTTAAAATTTTTTTTAAATGGAAAACATTTTAGAAAATAGACATTTTAGCATTTTCATATTTGCTTTCAATTTGTTTTCTTTTCATGCAAAAGAAATAGCAAATGAGAGGGCAGATTTGGTCCCCTTCTTATCCACCTCTAATTCTACTTTACTCCCTCTCCAGAGCTACTAATCTCACTAACTTGGTGTCTTTCTGGCCTGTTTTGTTTTTTTTTTTTTAATGCTTTTCTCTAGATATGTGTCTATAAACAATATATAGTACTGTTTTATATTTCAAAATTTAACAATCTTTAGCCTGCTTTGTTCCCTCTCAATGTTATGCTTTCAAGTTATTCATTGCTGTAAATATAGAATAAAAATAGAAATCACTCTGTAAGTGATGTATTTAATGGTGCTTCCTACCTGCCAGGTACTGTTCTAGATGCTTTATACGTTTTGTCTATATCTCAATTTCCCCCCATAATAACCTTGGAAGATCAGTTCTAGTTCTTCCTTTTGTATGAGATTGGAAACTCAGGCCCAGAGAGGTTAAGTGTGGACCTGTGTCCACACACATAGACCCAGTTCATCCCTGTTGACTGCTGTGGGGTCTTCCAGAGTCTGGTGACACCACCTTTAACCCCTTCCCCTCTTTAAGAACATGTAGGCTGTTTTCAGTTTTGCCCTGTGAGCATCCACATGTATTTACAGGACTGTAACTGCTGGGTCAGAGGGTCGCTTTTGACTTTTCAGGTACCTTCCAAAATCTCCAGAGTGTCCCAACTTCAGCACGTGGGCAGACTCCCAGTTCTTTTTTCTCCCCCTCTAACTGGCAATAGATGTCTAAAGCTGAATTTATATTTTGCTGGCTGTCTCTCTGTGGTCAGGCTGGGTCCCTCCCTGCCCCCCAGCAGTGACCCTGTTGATGGCTCACACGGGAAGAAAAAAGGAGTTGTTTGAACAGAGGGGTCACTGCACCAGCAGACATTCTGCCCTTTTCATTCAGTCTGACTGCAAGACCGGGGCTAAGCTGGGGGTCCTGGGCTCTCCCAGCAAGACAGAGGCTGTAGGGAGAGCTCAGGGTGGCAGGACAGAGAGCCAAGTCCTGCAGGTGGGCCGAGGGAAGCATCCAAGGCCACAGAATCCTGCCTGGGACTGGACACCATTCCCCTTACGTGGTGCATTGGGTTGGCCAAAAAGTTTGTTTGGGTTTTTCCATAGCATCGTATGGAAAACCCTGAATGAACTTTCTGGCCAACCCAATATTTAATGGTGCTTACTACCTGCCAGGTACTGTTCTAGATTGCTTTGCATATCTTCTATATCTCAATTCCTGCCCTCCCCCCACACCCGCCCCTCACCATAATAACCTCAGGAGATAAGTTCTAATTCTTCCTTTTTTATATGATTGGAAACTCAGGCCCAGAGAGGTTGAGTGCCTGTCCAAGGTCACACAGCACACAAGTGGTGGTGGATCTCTTAATGAGTCTGCTAAATAAATGGATTCAAAGGCCCTGTTTTGAATGATTCTCTTCAGGTGAAGTATGACTTTCCTCCTGAATTGTATTTTTTGATTTAAAAGGGCCATTCAGCTTTGAGGATTTTCTCCCTTAAAATTTTTTTTAAATGGAAAACATTTTAGAAAATAGACATTTTAGCATTTTCATATTTGCTTTCAATTTGTTTTCTTTTCATGCAAAAGAAATAGCAAATGAGAGGGCAGATTTGGTCCCCTTCTTATCCACCTCTAATTCTACTTTACTCCCTCTCCAGAGCTACTAATCTCACTAACTTGGTGTCTTTCTGGCCTGTTTTGTTTTTTTTTTTTTAATGCTTTTCTCTAGATATGTGTCTATAAACAATATATAGTACTGTTTTATATTTCAAAATTTAACAATCTTTAGCCTGCTTTGTTCCCTCTCAATGTTATGCTTTCAAGTTATTCATTGCTGTAAATATAGAATAAAAATAGAAATCACTCTGTAAGTGATGTATTTAATGGTGCTTCCTACCTGCCAGGTACTGTTCTAGATGCTTTATACGTTTTGTCTATATCTCAATTTCCCCCCATAATAACCTTGGAAGATCAGTTCTAGTTCTTCCTTTTGTATGAGATTGGAAACTCAGGCCCAGAGAGGTTAAGTGTGGACCTGTGTCCACACACATAGACCCAGTTCATCCCTGTTGACTGCTGTGGGGTCTTCCAGAGTCTGGTGACACCACCTTTAACCCCTTCCCCTCTTTAAGAACATGTAGGCTGTTTTCAGTTTTGCCCTGTGAGCATCCACATGTATTTACAGGACTGTAACTGCTGGGTCAGAGGGTCGCTTTTGACTTTTCAGGTACCTTCCAAAATCTCCAGAGTGTCCCAACTTCAGCACGTGGGCAGACTCCCAGTTCTTTTTTCTCCCCCTCTAACTGGCAATAGATGTCTAACGCTGAATTTATATTTTGCTGGCTGTCTCTCTGTGGTCAGGCTGGGTCCCTCCCTGCCCCCCAGCAGTGACCCTGTTGATGGCTGACACGGGAAGAAAAAAGGAGTTGTTTGAACAGAGGGGTCACTGCACCAGCAGACATTCTGCCCTTTTCATTCAGTCTGACTGCAAGACCGGGGCTAAGCTGGGGGTCCTGGGCTCTCCCAGCAAGACAGAGGCTGTAGGGAGAGCTCAGGGTGGCAGGACAGAGAGCCAAGTCCTGCAGGTGGGCCGAGGGAAGCATCCAAGGCCACAGAATCCTGCCTGGGACTGGACACCATTCCCCTTGGAGCAGCAGGGCTTTTACAAAGTCACACCCTCTGGCAGTGCCAGCTCCACGTTAAGTTTGGGAACGTGGCCCTGGGGTCTGTGCGGAGGCCAGCCTGGGTCAGGGCATTCTTGAACCACTTCATCGGACCACTGCCAGCAGGCTCCCTCCTCCCGTTTCACTGGCATAGTGAGAAATCATACTTTAGAGCCAGCTGTTTCTCGTTTCGGAACCCTCTTGTTCCCTGGAGGAGAGTCTCTCCAGCTGCCCTGGGAATTTTGTTTTCATCCCTGTTTCCTGACACAATGGCTTGCTGTCAGTTTTACTCAGCATATTGGGTTTTGCCAGTATCGAATTCAGTGTTTAACTGCCCTCCTTTCCCCCTTGATGGATTGTTTATCAATGACTGATGTTCATCCGTGCCCCCTCCCCTTTTCAGAAACAACCACAAACACCATCACAACAGAGGTCGTCTGACCTCAGAGACCTGAGGGTGAACGTAGTAAAACAGCACGTGACTGTCTTTTACCCTCTGACCGAAACTGCCACATTGAGGAAACAGTCAAGGGCAATTTTACTCACCCTTGGAAGGAATCACGGTGGTGAAAACTTCTATATTTTCATCACTGCAGCTGTAAATCTGATGCATCGTTTCAGCCTTCTCTCCCCAAAAGTGCCCGGGGATGGGAGGCCTCTCTCTGAACCCCTACTCGCGAGGTCTCCTAATCCGATCTGGCTCGGGGAATCATTGTGCCGGTTCACAAAAGACAGGCTGGTGCTGTGATCTCATTTCATTCCAGAGTCTTCACTGCAACATTTTCTAATCCCATCTGTCTTTTTTTTTTTTTTATGAATCCTATTATTGCAAACCTTTGATGGAGCCTAGAGCTTCAGTCCCCTCCCAGCCAGGATGTATTTAACATCTTTATTTTGCCGTGCCTGCTGCAGTGGATTTGGAAGTCTTTTGTGAAGTGGTGATGAAGTGAAATCGCCTACTCGGTTAGCGCCAAGCGTGGCTGGAGGATGATACTGAAAAGGAAACGTGATTTTTGGTACCGGCAGTTCCCCTTTTCATTTCAGAAATGAAGAGGCTTTTTTCCCCTCCCCTCTCCAGAAGAACTGGCTATTCAGTAATTTGTCATGTGTTAATTTGGCTTCCTTCAAAGTTTCTATTTTAAACAAAAGGACTGTTCTTCCAGAGCGTTCTTGCCTCATGCCAGTACATGACAAGGCTGACATTTCTAGAGAGCTGTGTGTTTTTTGCATCTCCTTGTAGAAACCTACAAGTGCTTGCAAGGATGTGGTAACAAGCAGCGTCTGACACTAGAGATACCTGACTACAGGGAGGTTATATTTTCATTATCCTAAATATCCTATTGTTCTCTATATATCCTGTATATCTTGTATTTTATCACACACACACACACATATATATATATACACACACACACAAAAATAGGTGTATTATGTCAAACCCATTGACTTTCATTGCACTGTTACAGATTTATTTCTTCACACCAATAATGATGGTGATGTAATGTTTTTAAAATCTATTTTATTGAAGTATAGTTGATTTCTGCTGCACAGCAAAGTGATTCAGTTATACATATATTCTGCTTCATATTCTTTTCCCTGTGGCTTACCACAGGATATTGAATATAGTCCCCTGTGCTATGCAGTAGGACCTTGTTATTTATCTGTTCTATATAGAATAGTTTGCATCTGCTAATCCCAAACTCCTAATCCATTCCTCCCCCACCTCCCCGTTCCATTGGCAACTGCAAGTTTGTTCTCCATGTCTATGAGTCTGCTTTATAGATAAATTCACTTGTGTCATATTTTAGATTACACATATGATTGATATCATATGGTATTTGTCTTTCTCTTTCTGACTTACTTCACTTCATATGGTTATCTCCAAGTCTACCTGTGTTGCTGCAAATGGCATTATTTTATGCTTTTTTATGGCTGAGTAGTGTTCCTCTGTGTGTATACCACATCTTCTTTGTCCATTCATCTGTTGATGGACGTTTAGGTTGTTTCTGCTTCTTGGTTATTGTGAATGGTGCTGCTATGAACAGAAGGGTGCATATATCTTTCCGAATTACGGTTTTCTCCAGATATGAGCCCAGGAGTGGGATTGCTGGATCATATGGCAACTTTAATTTTAGTTTTTTGAGGAACTTCTATATTGTTTTCCATAGTGGCTATACCAATTTATATTCCCACCAACAGTGTTGGAGGGTTCTCTTTTCTCTACATCCTCTCTAGCATTTGTTATTTGTAGAATTTTTAGTGGTGGCTATTATAACCAGTTTGAGGTGATATCTCACTGTTATTTTGCTTAGTGTTTCTCTAATAGTGATGTTGAGCATCTTCCTGTGTGCCCATTGGCCAGATGATGATATAATATTAACAATGATAGTTGGCATTTGTTAGATGCTTGCTAAGAGCTAGGAAGCCTGCTATATAATCTCATTTAATGTCTACAACTAGTCAATGAGACTAGCTGTTATTTTTGCCATTTTATAGGTGAGGAAACTGAGGCCAAAAGAGATTGAGTAGTTTGCCCAAGATTAAAATACCTAGTTCATGGCAGAATCGGAATATATATTAATACCCAGTGGAAGTGAAAATCACTCAGTCGTGTCAAACTCTTTGTGACCCCATGGACTATAGTCCATGGAATTCTCCAGGCCAGAATACTGGAGTGGCTAGCCTTTCCTTTCTCAAGGGGATCTTCCCAACTGAGGTCTCCCGCATTGTAGGCAGATTCTTTACCATCCGAGCCACAACTTGATTCCAAAGCCAGTGTACTGAACCACTAAAATTGTAGTCCATTCTTCACCTTCAAATTCATGCCCCTGCTTTGAGCCTGGGGGCCCTGAGCCATAGTCTCTTAGGCGTGGATTTGGTGACCGCTGATATTTCTGTTAAACAAAGCTGGAGTGCTTACTCAGCAGGTGGTTGTCAACATTACACCTCTGTCTCTGAGAACTGCACCTGGCCACAGATGGCTCTGGGAAGCCATGTTTGTTCTATCTGAATCTGTTCCCTTTGATTGAAGCAGGATGAACTTATAACCCAAACTGCTGCCTCCTGGAAACAGAAGTTGGGCCTTAGTCTGGGGCCAGAGGGAAGGTGCTGACTTTGAACATCTGCAGTGTCTTTCAGGGTCAGTGAGGGTGGACTTAAGCGGAAGCCAGAGGACATAAATGGAACTGTTACTCTAGAAGGGGCCTGAGGCCTGGATGGAAAGCCCAGGTAAAGAGTTGCAGGGACTTCTCTGGTGGTCCAGTGGCTAAGATGCCACACTCCCAACGCAGGGGACCTGGGTTTGATCTTTGGTAGAGGAACTAGATTCCACATGCCACAACTAAGAGTTTGCATGCCACAACTAAAGACTCCACATGCTGCAATGAAGATTGAAGATCCTGAGTGCTGCAACTAAGACCTGGCACAGCCAAATAGATAAATTAATTTAAAAAAATTTTTAAAGGACTTTAACTGGCAGAGGGTAGCAGGTCCTTTCACCCTGGCCTACTCTCTGTGGGTCTGTGGTTCTGTTCTGGTTCTGTTTGTACTCAGTAAGGGCCAGTGGGAAGGATGAGGGTAGCGGGTGAGGGAGTGTGGGGAGAGTGAGGAGAAGGTGTGGAGAGATTGAAAAAGACAGAGCGGAGGGAGGGAGTGTTGCTCTGGCTTGACAGTTTCTCATTTTCTGCCTTGTGTCTCTTCCTGTCTCGTGGTCAATAAGACGCCTCCATCTCCGTTTGATAGATTCCTTTGTGCTTGAGTTCACATAGGTTTTGGTCATTCTCAGCTAAAAAGAGTAGTCTCTAAAAGATATGTCTATAAATTTTGTAACCTCCATAGTGATTAAACTTTTAGATCATATAACATTTAGAGGAGTATCTAGTACAATAAAAAGCAAGATCCCAAATTACGTTGAAGACAGAAATTATGTAACAGACTCTTATTAGGCAATAAAAATTACAAGGTGAAACTTAACAAAACTAAATGAAAACATCCGCCTTTACATTAAAAAAAAATTAAATACAGAATTGGGGTGACTTATTTAGCAGCAATTTATGAAAAAGATATCCTAGATTTTTGTGAACACATTCTTAATTAGAGGTAATATTGAAGGCCGGGGTCTAAAAGATTTTGAATGTAGTTTCAAGGACCAGATACTAAATTGAAAAAAAAAACCAAAGCCCTCTGGACATCAAGAAGCCAATCAAGATTACCTGGATTTAATCTTAAGGGGTTCCACTTTGTTGTTGTTCAGTTGCTCATTCGTATCTGACTCTTTGAGACCCCATGGACTGCANTGGGGTCGCACAGAGTCGGACACGACTGAAGCGACTCAGCAGCAGCAGCAGCAGTAGCAGTGTAACTAAATGAGCTTAGGAAACACATCCAGAAAAAAACAATTCCTAAGAAATCATTTTTACCTGTTTGAAATGTATTTTATATAATAATACCTGCTTACTGTAACAAATTTAAAATTGTAAATAGGTATGCAGAAGAAGTGAAATCCACTTCCTCCATTTAAGTCTCACTTCCTGAAAGCAATCATTGTTTACAGATTGGTGGGTGTATTTGCATATTTTTTCATGTCTCTCTCTCTCTCTATATATATATATATATAATTTTTAAAAAATATAAATAGAACTATACTACATATGCATGTGTGCACAGACTCATTCATGTGGGGACATATATAGTTCCCCTTCGTTAAATGTGCAGGAGACTACTGCACTGTAAGAATTTATCCACTTCTTTCTTGATAGACCCATAGCTTCTTTCCATTTTTTAAAAATTAGAAACAACACTGCAGAGGGCATCCCCATATTTGTATTTTCACATATGTCTTCTAATATTTTTGCAAGCTATAATTCTAGTCTGGGGAGTGCAGGTCATAGAATATGCATATTTAAAATTTTGAGGGATTTTTGCCTTCCAAAAATTCTGCATCCATTGACACTTTCACTAATAGGCTATGAGGGGCTTATTTGCTACACCCTTGGTGAAACTTGATATTATTAACTTTTTTCCTGTTTGGCTTTTGTGCTCTGAGTCCAGAATATTGATTGTAATTAATAGAGTCCTTCTAGCTTAGGTGGAGGGGTGGATGGCTGAGTCCTCGTGTTAAAATACAAAGTCTATCATCTGTGCATGATAATAAGTATAACCCACACCTCTGAGTACTGGTCACCACCCCATCCAGGACCATGCTAACCCTAGGTTAGGCAGAGTCTGTCCTGTCCTAGGGCTTCTCTTCTCCCAGGTAGAGGGAGGTCACTGCGGAGAGTTATACACTGTTGGCATGGGATGCTCACTTCCTTCTTTGTTTTTTCTTTTTAAATTTTCATTGGAATATAGTTGCTCTACAGTGTTATATTATTTCCTGCTGTACCGCAAAGTGGATCAGTCCTATGTATATATATCCCATCCTTTTTGGATTTCCTTCCCAATTAGGTCACCACAGAGCAAGTAGAGTTCCTTGTGCCATATAGTAGGTTCTCATTAGTTATCTACTTTATACATAATATCAATAGTGTATATATTTCAATCCCAATCTCCCAATTCATCCCACACCCCCTTTCCCCACCTTGGTATCCATAAGTTTGTGATCTGTCACCTTGGTATCCATAAGTTTGTGATCTGTGCCTCTATTTCCGCCAAAAGATACATGCACCCCAATGTTCACAGCAGTACTGTTAACAATAGCCAGGACACGGAAGCAGCCTAAATGTCTGTCAGCAGAGGAGTGGATAAAGAAGATGTGGCACATATATACAATGAACTATTACTCAGTCATAACAAGGAATAAAATTGTGCCACTTGCTGAGATGTGGATGGCCCTAGAGTCTGTCATACAGAGTGAAGTTAAGTCAGAAAGAGAAAAACAAATGTATCAACACATATATGTAGAATCTAGAAAAACGGTACAGATGAACCCATTTGCAAAGCATAAATAGACACACAGACGTAGATGCTCACACCTGTTTTCAAATGTTGCTTCTGCACTGACTCAGCTGGCAATCAGTCAATGTGAGTGAAAGACTTTCTTACTTGGCTACCCTCTTG